GCGTCTTTTTTCGTGCGAAGCACGACGCAGGGATGGTACGTGAGAGCAAGTCTCCCCATTCAACACCCACGTTTGGGTTCGGAAGCCGAACGGGAAGTGGTGTATCGTTAATTCTTACAATAAGGTCAACGCTACCACCATTCCGGCACAGACGCCGATTCCGAAAAAGGATATTCTTCAGAACAACATGGTGGGATGAACGAAATACAGTGCACTCGACCAGGTAGATGGATATTACCAATTGCTCATGAGAGCGAGTGATATTCCGCTTACAGCGGTGAGCACTCCGAGCGGCATGCTCTGGGAGTGGCTGGTGATGCCCCAAGGGCTTTAAATGCACCAGCAACATTTAATCGGCTTGTGACGCAGTTGTTTAGGCCCACAGGGCGTATGCACAGACATACCTTAGTTTTGTTCACAGTCGTGCGGAGCACGGGAGGACGGTGAGGAGAACCACATCGTTCATTCCAGAGCGGTACTCGAGTTCATGCGAACTAACAAACTGTACGCCAATGCAGACAAGTGCATCTTTGGCGTAGACGAGATTCCCTTCATAGGGTGCTTTATTGGAAGCGTGGCCTTCGAGCGGATCCCGCTATGGTCAAGACCATTGTAGATTGGCCGGTTCCAAAGAACCAGAAGGACTTGCGTAAGTGGCTTGGTCTCCCCATCTACTTACACAAGTACCGCGTATACTACGCAGAAATGCCCCGACCATTTTCCAATTTTCTTGAAGGATGCGAAATGGTGTTGGAGCACCGAACATCAGGAGGTTTTCGACGGAGTTAAAAAGAGCCTCCTGCATGCACCAATACTGGCGCTGCCAGACCCTGATCGTCTTTCAGCGTCCTCTGTGACGCTTCGGACTTTGCCATCGGCTTTGCACTGCTGCAAGCAGACGCAGAGGGGCGAGATTGGGTGATCGCGTTCGAATCTCGAAAGCTCAAAGCTGCAGAGTAGAACTACCCAATTTATGACAAGGAGCTACTTGCGATGAAGTATGCACTTGTCAAGTTCAGGGTCCACCTGCTCGGTTCCAAGCCGTTTGTGATCTACACAGATCATGCGTCACTACGCACTCCGGCTCAGTCGCCCCACCTCTCGCAGACGATGGCTAGATGGCTATCCTTCTTCGCGGAATATAACTTTGAGTTGAAGTATGAGCCGGAAGAGCAGAATGCTTTGGCTGATGCGTTGTCACGCAGACCAGACTATGAGCTTGCACATGTCACGACTGTAACGTCGTCTGTGACGGATTTGATTAGCACCGCGTATGCGGTTGATGGGATGTGTATAGCGCTGCTACGGGCTCTCGGAAGCAAGGAGTTTGGAAATTCGGATAAGAAATTGTCACCAAGACTGCGTGCACTATTGCACCGATACTCGTTGAATAACGGCTTGCTATATTATAGCACCGATTCAACGGAT